GGAAAGAAGGATAGGTAATGACAAGAGAGGGAAAGGTCAAAGAAACGCTAGAACCTGGGTCAAAGATAGACCCTAGAAGCTACAGTCGATGTTTAAAAACAGGAGAAAAAAAGATTAAATAGAATTTTTGAGGATTATTTGTACAAAGATTAATACAAAAGGAAAATATGTTGAATAGTGAACTGAGGGGAAACTCTCTCCAGGAAGAAGCGAAAAGTGTCAACAAATGCAGATAAGAACACAGAAATGGAAAACGGAAGAAAAAGAAATGTCTCCCAGCCAGAATTTCACTTTTCAACCGTGAATAATATTTCTGCAGCAGAGAATACCATTCCTTAGCTAATCAGTTTACTGGGCTTAAAAGAAGCAAATTATATGTACCAGTGAATGTTGTCCTATCCTACCTGCTATGTAGGGCAAGGGAGTGGAAATGAGGGGACTGAGATAATTTGGGAGCATGGGCTGGAAGAAGGGAACAAGCAGTAGGAGTATCTGGCAAAGCATTGAGCTGTAGGATGCAGAAAAGCAAACCAGAAATTTTGCTTTTCTAATTTGTGGACTTCTCATGAGGCAACAGTGCAACTTGACATTGTGAACTGGGAGGCAGCACTGGTAGAAGCCAAAAGGAGAGACAAACCTTGCAGTTGGTTATAAGTGGAACTCCTTGTTTTACTGACGGACAAATACTTCACTAATTTAAATTGGAAAATAATGGAAGCTCCAAAGTCTTGGAGCTGTCATCTACAGTGACCTAAATGTTCAGAATAATTATTGTACCCCAGACTGTGTATTGATTTTTTTTTTAAATCTTATTACCTATACAACTTTAAATGCTCAGTAACAATGACATCTTATTATGACAGTATTCCTCCCTACTTCTGCAAGTGACATCCAGCAATTACAAATTTACATATATGCATTTAACATATATCAAATATTACAAATTGATAACTAGCAAAAATAAATGCTTGATGCTACTTTAGCTTCTGTGTTAGATTGGGAAACAAGAACAACTATACTACAAACCAAAATATAAGAGGTAGAAAATGAGCATGTATACTTTCCCATATGCTCCTTCCAGGTAGATGACATGCAATTGTCTACATTAACTTACTATAGCTAAGCTTCTGTCAGAGCATTTTTATCTGCCGTATTTATTTTTTCTTAGTAACATATAGATTAGATTTGAGAATAGGTCAACCACTGAAGAGCAAAATACACAACTGGATGTCAGTGTTGGAAAATTATTTGTGGAGATACGAATACTTGTACTCATTTTAGCAACAAATAGTAAGAAATCCATGCTGATTTCACTGATAAAATAATTTTGTATTTTTCTTGTACAGTCATTATGATTTACAGAATGCAGAGACTGACCATGTCTGTAAAGCCTTTCCACAGGTCAAATAAAAAGGTAATGAATAATCTACTAATTTACAGCAAACAGAGTTTACAGTTTACCACATATAATTTTGACGTGTTTTTCTGAGATGCCAATTCCTCTCCTCCTTTATGCCATGTAAACCCTCAAAACATAAAGGATTCTTTTGTCTCAAGTAATCCATTTACCAAAATAATATTTACTCCTAGTTGATGCCAGCTTGGGCAGCTGCAGCTCTTTGGATGCCTCATCCATCAGAGTGGTGAGTACGCAAGTGCTTAGCCCAATGCTTGTTAACTCCTAGCTATCTTCTGTGTGTGCTAGCCTGAGAATAACTGCTTTACATGATTTAGTTGTGTATATCCTCCTTGCAGAGGCTCTTTGCATTTGTCTGAAGATGTCCAAACAAGCCAACCGAAAGGAAGGGCCAAAACATTATAAGCAACTGCTTTCAGTTGAATGTAATATTCAAATTACATTCAAAGTGTCCCAGTTTCATTCCAATGAATCCCAGACTTTCAAAAATATGAGCAAGAGCAGCAACAAAAAGGTGCTGCTCTTGCTTATAACTCCTTTTAGATTTGAATATAATTCTCTTCATAGAGGAGTATTAAATTCAAGAATACAGCAATCATAGAGCAAAGGGAAAAGAAAAATGTCTAATTGAACTCCAGCCCAACTGAATTGGCTAACATGATAAAATACTGATGTAACTATTCAGATTAAGCAGATTTACTGGAAAGTGTTGGTCTATCATCAATTCAGATTTAACATAAACAATTAAAATCACAATCTAATTGCATATTGCAATGGCTCTGAAACTATAGATCTTCATTGATAAAAATCTATGTTAATGAATATTTAAATAAATAACAGAATGCTTTAAATATTAATCACCAAACAGAAAGAAAGACTGTGATGGGGGAGAGGCAAAGGAGAGAAAAAGATGATGATAAAGATACTGTCACTTTGTTTACAATTATCAATAAATCCAATAATCACAAGATTTAAATGGGAAATATGAATGCAGCAACAAAGCAAGCTGTGACAGATTACTAGCAGAGGTCCATTAAACCCAAATCAACCAAAATCAAACTGGATACCAGGATGAATTATTTCTTACCATGCCTGGAAATAAAACTGTGGGGTTGTGGGGAACTTCAGTTTCGGACCACTCATGCAACTGTTGTTGGAGTTCTCAAAAAAAACTGCATGATAATTTTCTAACACAAAAGGCACCACTACACAGGAATGTCAGCATGATGAAAAAGGTGAAGTAATCATTGCAGAGGAAGCTGGTTCATATTTGTAGACTAACTGTTTATAACCAGGTGATGTTCACGAAGGGAACACTGAGGCCAGCCCCAAACAAAATTTGGCACCTCAGGAGAACAAGTTTCTCAAATTAATATAATAAATATATAATAAAGTCAATATTAACCAGAAATGGAGGAAACAAATCTTTAGCTATAAAAATATGAGTTTGACTGTCCTCTATGAAGGATTTATCTGATAGTCCAACAACATTCTCACAGTAAGAGAGAAGTCCACCCAGGTCTAATGGTGGAGAGATGCTACGAGTTAGGAATGAGAAGGCTGTACAGCCAAAGAAAGAACAATGAAATAGATAGCAACCAATACAAATGACAAATTTTGTTGTGAATAAAATGGACATAATAGGAAAAAAAACAAACCCAAAGATCTATAACTGGATGAAAAATAAGAAGTTTAAAAAGTGTACTAGGAATATGAAAAATCTCAGCATAATGCAGGATCCCTGATTTAGAACAATACAATAAATGAAACAAATATTTCTCTCTGTATTTAAACAGAAACAGGATTTTCTATTTTATTTTTACAAGACTATGATAAAGAACTTTCCATTATATTATTAACATAAGAGAATATTAAATAACATCTATGTGGGAGAAATATTTCTAAGTGAGCAGGCTTCGTTAACCTGCCCAAATATGCTAAAAGAGTTGGTAAAAACATTACTGGATCACTGATTTTTAATTTTATTTTTATATTTATTGAATACCAAGAGAATGCCATAAGACTGGAACAGTTGTGACAACTACAGTTAGAGAAACCTAGAGTAAATGTGAAGTGAAATACTGATTGTCTATCATATTTTCATAATAGGTCACCTGGTATTGCCCAAGTCTAATAAAGGTGGACTATGGCTCCAGTTTGAGCAACACAACAGGCAGGCAGCTTGGTAAAACCTTCAAGTGAAACACTGTCGTGAAAAGGGGTAATGCCATCCTTGTATGCATATAACAGGAGAGAAGGGAGTAGGAACAGAAATAAGTAGGAACATTTAGAGCATTGATGAAATGGACATTAAAGTCCTGCAACTCACTGTGATATCCATGTTTGAAGAGATTTTGAAAAACTTGGAAGAGTCCCAAAAAGTTCCAAAGAAAGAATTCAAAGGGCAGAGAAAATGGCTTGTTAAAAGAACTTCAAAGATCTGTATCTGCTTAGCCTATTGGGAGAAAAAA